TTTCTGGAGGTCTAGGGAGGATTCTCTTTCCTTCTTTATTCATGGGAAGGAAGATATATCTTAACTGCTTTTATATATGTATTCTTCAGGGGAAAAAGCATAATTGTAGTACTCAGGAAAATTAGGTCATTTAACTAAGAAGGGAGGAATGAATGCTGCACAAGTGACCAGTCATCTCAGTCATTGACACTGTTAGGGTTCAGACTTAGGGTAAGGGTGGAGAGGCAAGGTAAGGCGAGGCGCGCAGCACTGCCCGGGCTGGCAAGCAGGAGGTGTGCCCTGGGAACCCAGATATCTGAGTAAATTGCAAAGAATTGCAACACACAGAGATGAGAGAAGAAAAGATTTATTTAAGAAAAGTTCACCCCCACAGACAGGGAGTGAGCCGACACTCTAGGTGAGTGTGGCCTCCTAGCTCCCCAGAGTCCTGGCTTAAATCCTTTTCTTGGAGATGTTGCAGGTGACTGCTGTGACTTCCTTATCGACCACCTGTGGATGTCTTGGAGAACCTGTGACACAGAGACCCATTAATGTTTGCCCACATTATCATAGCCCCTAGAGAAGGGCATGACAAGGATTCTAATGCTCCTGCACCTTCCCAAATGACATTCCTTAGAGCTAGTGGAGGGTGCACCTCCCCTTATCTCCTAGGCATTCCCAGTGGGTAGCTTCGGGGATCCTTTGCTTCCCTGTAGTGCCCAATTTACTAGAAGATCAAATCCCCACCTGCTCTCTGAGTCATTATAACTTTTGTAATGACAAGTTTCATGACTTTTACAGTCCTTGCCCAATGCATGACGTCTTAGGCCTTGTAAATTTCCTTTACTCTAGGCAAGCTTGATTGCCACTATGAGATACCTCTGATATCTGGAAGTCTGTTTCTGAAAAGACAAAATCGGTAAAGTTAATTATACCTAAAGTGCGCATTTCTTCAAAAGCATAGCTTCTACTTTCTCGTCATTGTGTCAGGGTTTAAGAACAAGATGAAAATGGCTTCCCACTCTTGGTCTGTCCTTTCAGATACTAGAGACCCTGAATTCAAACTGTTCCAATATGATCAGAGTCCCTCTGCCCCATCACATCTAAGCCCTAGGGGCTTTGATCACCATCTTGCATCCCAAATAAAGTGTTTTGGGAGGTCCTAGCCCACAGGGAATGTCAGTTTGTCTCACAGACCTCTTACAAAGATAGCATAAGGAAGTAAGCATGACGGAGACCATAGCATATCTAGAGTCAAACATTAGATAATACAAAAACTGCTGGCAGAGAAACAAATATACATGAAAATAAAATGCAGCACAAACAAGGAGCTTAAGGTGAATTAAGATGCTCAGAAAAACCTTCACTAAGACTTTCTTGAAAATGATAAAACATGCCAAGAAGCACAGTCAACTAGAATCCAGTAAATTATATTATTTAGTAATAGATCTTAGACTGGATACTGAAGGTGCTTAAAAAGATTCAGTATGAGCCCAGGATGTTGAGGCTGCAGTGAACTGTGATCATGCTACTGACTCTAGCCTGGGCAACAGAGTAAAATCCCAACTAAAAACATAAAAATAAAAGGTGCAGTGTGTATGGTTTTCTTTCCCTTCCTACTTTTATTTGACTCTGTCATAAAAGATCCAATTAAAAGATCTTCTTCCATGCAAGTAGATGTTAGCTAACTGTCATCATAGGGTTTTAGTCAGTGCACAACCTCTTCTTTCTTCACACACTAAAAGATTTTTATTTTTCCTCTCAGTTCTGCTAATATTTATATTATGATATAAAAGACATTAAGACAGGTGAAGACAAAAAAATATTTACATACACACACAATAATTTTTCAAAAATTCAAAAAGGTAAACACAGAGAAATCCTGGAATTTTTCTTCAGTGTGTACAATTCAATGTAGTTTCAGTTTTCTTTCCAACCTTCCCCAGTGATTTCTGCCCAGCAACTGATGAGAAACACCACCTCAGAGCCAATCAAGAAACTAAATCTTCCAAAGAGAAACTGTTCTCTGCTTCTCATGGTGAGCCGACAGCCTCCTCCTTCTTTCTTTTTCCTGAGGTTCAACCACAATAGAAAGGATGAAGAAATCTTGACTACCTTTTTTCTGTGGGCTGTGAATTCAGATTGGAATACTGAGAGGTAAAGGGGTGGTGTGCAGGGAAATTGTTGAGAGCCAAGTTTCCAATGCCTGAGAGGAGAGGGGCTGAAAAACTGAGTGTGAGTGGCAGGGAATAGCTCGCACTGGAAAAGGGGTCAGGAGTGTGTATGTGTGTGTGTGTGTGTGTGTGTGTGTGTGTGTGTGTGTGTGTGTACACGTGGGCATGAAGGCAGAGTGGAGAAGTAGTGTAAAGTATTAGGAGCAGGAGTTGGCATTCGATGAGAGGAGAGGGAGACAATGTGAAGGAGGAAATATTGCAAGTACATGTTCTTAAGAAAGAAGCCAAAAACCTTTGTAATCTGCTCTGATCACCTCAAGGCATCTATTTAAGAGATTCTAAAGAGAGATTAGCCTTAAAGATTTACATGTAAATTTGTTTATCACAGAATTATTTATAATGTAAAACAATCTGAGCCAACATTTTTACATTTCATTTGCATGTATGACGGGCAGAGAATAGAGAAACAATGCGTGGTTCAATCATAAAAGGGATTTCCATGAAGTCATTAGGAATCCTATTTTTAATAAAGTGTGGTTATTTATAATTTTTACAACATTACGTCTTATTTTGTATCTTTTAGGAATTCTATTTGTTTTTTCTTTCCATTTATCATTTCCCCAAAACCTAAAATAGACTTTCCAGTGGCTACAATTACATTATGTGAATATACCATTACTTATTTAACCCTTTCTTTGTTTTGGCTATTTCAGTAGTATCTACACTGTGTTATCATGGATTGTACTATGTTGAACAGTAATCAACATATATATTTGGGTTAATCCCTGATTTTATTCTTCAACGCTAATTCCTATAAGCAGAACTTTTGTATGAAAGGATACATTTTAAAGATATATATGCATATATATATGTTTCCAAAAATACTTCTAGAAATATTTATATTCCCACTAGCAAAATATATTATTACTAATGCAGATTTTTTAAAGTTTTATTTCTTTATATTTTTCTTAATTTTGAAAATTGTCTGTAATCAAGAAGACAGAACAAAAATAAAAAATAAGTGAAAACATATTTCTAATTCTGAGAACAGAAGAAAAATAATTAGCTCAGGGACCAATAATAATAATAATAACCCCTCTATAGCAACATAAAGAGGAACACAAGATGTGCTGAAAGACAATGTGTAGTCTGAGGGTGGGTACAGGTCCAGGCAGAGGTAGAGGACAGCCAGCTGCACAGACCTCTGTTCCCTTGCCTCTTCCTTACCTTGCTCCATCCCCTTCTGCTGACCTTGTTCTCAGAGGAAGTTCCCAGACCAAGGTACCCACAGTAGCAGGTGCTATGTGCTATGACTGTGGGGCTTAAGCTTCTTTGTTTAAAGAGAAACTGTTGAGGAGTTAGTATTCAGTGAGCAGTTAATATGGTTCCATTCACTATAATTACTCATACTCATTGTTAAGTAATACATGTAAAATTTTAAATTTAAAGCATTCAAATAATTTTAAAAGTAAAGGGAACAAAAGACCAAAGTGTCCTTTCCTTTAACCTCCAATCTTCAGTGTAACGTGCATCTTTTTAGATCCTTTTCAGGCATCTACATATACAACTATGTACAAATCTGTAGTTTTATGTTTGTTTTTCTGTTTTTGCTTTTGATTTTTTTTTTTTTTTT